GATAGATCACATGCTGGATATAAACCAAATCTCAATACAAAAGAATCGAAACATACAGAGAGGATTTTCTGAGTACAACTGAACTAAATTAGATATTAATAACAGCAAAATATCTAGGAAAACCCTAAGTGTCTGGAAATTAAAAAGATTATTTTAAATAATTATGGACCAAGGATGAAATCAAAAGGAAAATTAGAACACATTTTCAACTGAATGCCAATAAAAATGCAACATATCACAATTTATGGGATGCAGTTATAGCATTCTTAGCGGAAATTTTCAGTTTTATATAGTTATATTAGAAAATTAGAAATATCTAAAAAAAGACCTAAGATTCACTTTAAGAATCTGTAAACACAGAGCAAAGCAAATCCAAAATATGTAGAATAAAGGAAATAACTTAAATAAAACAGAAATCATCAGAACAGAACACAGATAGATGATAGAGAATATAAATTAACAAAACTAAAAGCTAATACTGAGAAAAAATCATCGATCTTGGCAAACCCTTAGTTAATAAAATGAAAGTCTTTTTAATAAGTAGTACTTGATCAACTAGAAATATGCATGAGAAAATAGTAAACACTGACTCCACAAAAATCAACTCAATATGGATCATAGACCTATTGTAAAATCTAAATCTACAAACCTTTAAAAAGAAAGAATAGATGATTTCTTAGATAGAACACAAACAATATGACATACAAAAGTTTAATTCGATAAATTTGATAAATTGGACTTCAGTAAAATTAAAATTTTTGGTGTTCAAAAATCTACTTTAAAAAATCAAAGAAAAGGTTTATTCCAAAGAAAAGAAAGTATATGTCTGCACAACGTTCAAAAATGTTCACACAAGTTTTTTTTTTCATAATGAGCAATAGCTTAAACCAATCAAAAATGTCCATCAATGGGTACTAGATAAACAAACCCAATTATATCCATATGATGCAATAACAGAAACAAATATTATAAATTATTGATGCACATATATGTAAGTCAGTATATACTGACTAAAAAAGTTCAGTAGAGACAATCATAGAATAGGAGAAAATATTTGCAAACCATACATCTGAAAAGGGGTTAATATATAAAATAAATAAAATAAGAAACTGAAACAAATTAACAGGAAAATACGAAAACTAATAATACAATTAATACAATACAGAACAAATAATACAACTAAACAATGGGCAAAAGACCTGAACAGGCATTTCTCAAAAGCATACAAATGGCCAATAGGTACATGAAAAAAAAAATGCTCAGCATCAGTAATCAGAATCCAGGTGCAGACAAATACTGCGTGATCTCACCTATATGTGGAATATAATAAAGTTGAATGATGGTTACCAGAGGGGGGGAATGGGGACTTGTTGATTAAATGGCACAAAGTTTCAGATCGGTAGGAGGAATAGGTTTTGAGATCTATTGTACAGCAAGGTGACTATAGTTAATAATAATGTACTATATATTTTAAAATTACTAAAAGAATAAGTTTCGAGAGTCTTACCATAAAAAATGATAGTTAAGTGAAGTGATGCATATGTAAATAGCTTGATTTAATCATTCCACAATGTATACATATATCAAAATATTACACTGTACACAAAAATGTATGCAATTACATTTGTTAATCAAAATATTAATAATATTTTTAAACATCATGCTGTAAACTATAAGTGCATACAATTTTTATTTGTCAATTACACCTTAATAAAAATAAAATTTTAAAATAATAACATAAAATAAAAATACTCCATGATTTCATGGAATCTTAGAAATGCACACTAAATTATAGTGAAAGAAAGTAGATGAATGGATGCCTAGAGATTAATATAAAAGGAGGGATAGATTACAAAGTGGCCTGATAAAACTCTTAGGGTAATGTAAATAGTTATATTGATAATTATGATAAATTTATGGGAGTGTGTGTATATATATAGATATAGATATAGATATAGATATATGTCAAAACTGATCATATTTTACATTTTATGTACTTCATTATATTTCAATAAATTCATAATTTTAAGAATATTTATTTTTCTAATTATTCTGATTCAAGCAGAAAAAATTTAAATATAAGTATCTTATGCTGAAAAAGGAAAAAATTGGTCATGTGTTACAAGAACCCATCAAACTCAATTTCAACAATATAGCATAAAAACAATGTTTAGTGAAAACAAAAAGTAGTTATTTTAAAATAATAGCTTACTAGTGGGAAATCACTTTATTGTTTTCAAAATATATTTACCTAGTCAATCTCTAATCAACACAGTGGCAATAATAATCTCAGGGAATGTTCAAAGAATTCTCAGAACATCCTCTTAGAAAACAAGATATTTATCCTGTTTAAATAGGAGAAGCTATAATTTTCTGGTGAGCTTGAGTCTAAATACTTACCTAAGAATAATTAAGCAGAAAAATAAGCCAATATTTCAACATCTTAAGTAAAGGAGAAATACATCTGTGATCACAAGCAACTTGTGTTTGTTAGAAATCAGTTGTTGAAAAACAATGTCTCCTAAGCACTTTTCTTTGGTATAAAGTATTTGTGTTATTAAAAGATCACAAGAGCAAATAATTCACACAGCAATATACAATCATTTATTTATCCCATTATTTTCTATCTAGCTGAAATCAATGATAACCAAAAATGTCCTATGTTATTGTATTTCAGCATTTCACGTTATCTTGATATTTTTCTACATTTCTCACTTTGAAAGTTGAAACCATGTTGAGGTTTATTTAAATGTGTGGATTCTAGTGTCCTGTTAAAGTGGGAGCTGTGTTTTATTCACCTTTGTTTACACTAGCACTGAACATAGAGCCTGTTAAGATGGACCTAGTATGGGTTTTTAAATTCTTCTCAGTGAAGCTTTAAAATATAAACATATAGACATTATAGATCCAAGGTTTAGGTTTTTATTTATTTCATACAAACACCTATGCAGTCATTCCTGGAGGATAATTCAGGAGTTCCAGGGCATCTTTGATGGATGTGAATATGGTTGAGTAAAAGTATTTTTAAATGTTGAGTATGAAAAATCCCGAAGAGTCTGTCCCCTTAACCCTCTTATTTTATAAATAATTAAATTGAGGTCCTAAGGATGGAAGTCATACTACTAATTAGCAATTATTCTAGGACAAGCATATTAACTAATCCTAATATTCAAGTATTAGCATATTATTATGAGCCACTTTGCCTTACTGTATTTTGGATATACCGGCAATGGTCACTTCTCGTGAACTCGACTTTCTTGAGTGCTGGCAACAGAGATTTAGTTACACATAATCCTACAATATGTGGAATAAGTTTAAAAATATTTACAAAATGCAAATATTATGAATTGAGTTTCATTCAAAGAACATATTGCCTAGCACTTTTTTAGGAGAGTGGGAAGAGGCCAGGAGTATTCATTCTAAGGATTTCCTCTCCAAAATGGTTGAGCTGTTCTAAGGTAAAACATATCTTGGAACCCTTATTTTTTTGTTCATTTAGATTCAGATTAAAGAAAATGAAGAAAATCATAAAGTAAATTTTGGTTTAAATATGCACATTTTAAATTACAAAATATAAACAAATGTGTTGAAAGTTTAATAAATGTTTATAATTTGCTAACAATGTTGTTAACCTGAAAAATAAGTGTGATAATGGCAAAATGGCAGAAAACAGTACTGGGAAAAAAGCACGTCAAATAAGTTATCAGCATCACTTCCTACTCTGTGCATTCTCCAAAATATCAAAGCTGTTTGTTTTTGAGACGCGGTGAAATGACTTTCTTAGACGTTGCCTAACATAAGTAAAATACGTCAGTAATTTGTGAAAGATTCAAAACACCATCAACTATCTTTAATAACTTTTTTAGAATTTTTATCTTTAATAAATTTTTTAGAATTTTCCAATTGGTCTTTCTATGGATTTCTTGATAAGCTATCTATAAATATGTAAAATAATATGTATTATGTCTATACTTGATAAAATATTTTCTTTCTAAAGCCATTCTCAATTAAAAACTGCATCTTGTTTCACAATTATCATTATATTCTATCAATATTAATGTACAAGAAATGATCCAGTAGAAATGTTTAGTCAATACATTCCCACCAAGACAGCTCTGTCTTTTCAAGCATCAGCTCTAGCATTAATGATTCATAAATATTTTTTGAGGATGAAGTTAAGTTTCTCCCTCTTTTAATAATATGTTCACCAAATTATGTTAAAATTTCATGCAATGACTAAAGGTGAATTGTTAATTTACATTACCACCACCCCCCCCACTTCCCAAATCTCACAGTTATAAAATTTTTTTATTTAGTTTTACAATTCTGGTGGTCATAGTCTTCTTTTTGAGATAGATGATAAACACCATTTCAATAAAATACAAGTACTGAAAACTTTCGCTGTATTTAAAATACTATTTCATATCTTATGAGGATGTAAAACAATTCAACAAAACAACTTGAATAAGAAATGAAAACACTCTATTAGCTAAGACACAGAACCATAAATATTATAAATAAACAGCTAAAAAAAGCCTAAGGAGATATTGATCAATCACTGATAACTAATATAGTTCAGCTAATACTGTACTTTGGATTAAATGCTGCAAAAGAAGAAAGCCATCATTTTGGGGATAAGCAATATCAAGACCGTTAAATATATAGCATGTGAAATGTCCCATAACATCCACTAGATGTCTCTAATAACTGACTTTGAGTGACTACCGTCCTTTTAAAGCTATGCATTAAACACTGAAACATGAACTACATATGTATTTTGATTTACCTATAAAAATTCACATTGAAGCATGTGAAATGTCCCATAACATCCACTAGATGTCTCTAATAACTGACTTTGAGTGACTACAGTCCTTTTAAAGCTATGCATTAAACACTGAAACATGAACTACATATGTATTTTGATTTACCTATAAAAATTCACATTATTCAAGGCAGACAGAGTTGTTGAACAATGAACAAATAAAAGGAAAATAACTTACATTCAATATCAAGGTACATGCTCTTTTGGTGCCCTCCAATTCTACTTGCAGCTTCACAGTCATATCTCCCTGAATCTGACAGTTTCACATCTTTAATATGCAGTGATGAGCTTCCATGCTGCCCTTTGACTTCGATACGGCCGTCTGGGCTCTGTTTACATCGATTCAGGAAAAAGAAAGATTTTATGCTTGTTTGTGCAAAATGATGACCAAACATGTAACATACGTTATTTCCTGTGTTTCATTCCAGCTGCAGAAAGCATTTTTTTCTGTAGCTAAGAAGTTGTTTTTTTTTTTTTTTTAAAGCAAAGATTTTAAATTCTCATAACAATTTCATGAAGGTTTCAGGACCCCCTGGCTCTTTAATTATAAATAACATTATATTGTCTCCCAAATAAAACCTCAGTCTCTCAGCCTGACATTTAAGGAACCTCCATGTGGTAACACCTTTTTTTCCAAGCACATTTTACTATTTGAATACCATCTATTCCAATTATTTTGAATTACTTGTACTTTCCTGAATAGCTTGTACTTTTCAGAAGCACTCTTCACAGACCTGTCTCAAATATTTCCCCTGTTTATCTCTTCCATATTTACATGGGGATAGTCTGCTGTCTATCCTTTAATATATTGGACAAATATGAATTTATATTTGAAATAGTCTGTGAATTCCTAAATAAATAATTACAACTTCTTTGAATTCCATGCTTTTCTTGGGACACATTGCTTACTGAAGTCTTGTTGAAACTTCAAATTTCATCCTGTAGGGTGATATTATAGGTGAACAAATGTGAGAAAATTTTTATGATATTTCATGTAAAAGTCACCTGGAATTCTAGGACAAAAACATTACATTCTAATATATTTATAAAACAAATTAAGTTATAATAAAATATACATATGGTTAAGTAAAGTTAATTATTCAGCTATTATTTATTATGGGTTAAAAACTTGCATTTAATTATCTTTATTGCAAGATATCTTTATTACAACAAGATACATTATTAATAATGCAAATCGAATTATTTAATTTCCATAAAAATATTATTTCACTTTCTCAAAATTGAATTTTAAAGTTTTAATTTTCTTCCCTTGAATATAAATGTGTTCTCTTGTTTTTACCTGTTGCATATAATAAGGCCTTTAACTTAAGAAAAACTATTGGTGTATCAAAATTAGCACACTATTAGTAAAGATGCTGATATTTAAAAGTTATTATCGGTGTATCTAAAATTATTAACAGAAATTCTGGAAAACCAGAACATTTGAAAAAATATTTGGTTCCTTGGAAAATTATGTCATTTTCAAAAATGGCATTGGCTCTGTAATGATGCAAAACATGCATTTGACTCAAATACTTACACTAGAAGACCAAAGTCATTCCTTTTCATATTTGACCTTGTAAAGGACATCTCTCTCTTTGTGCTACAGAAAGGCATTACACATATGTGAAAGAAAACTCATTTATATCTTGGCTTTCATTCAACAACTACTGAAGAGTCATTTAAGACATCTGATATTTGACTGAGACAAGTTAATGGACATTTTAGCTGTCTATCTAGTATTTCCAGGTTCTATCACTGAATAAAGTAAGATGATTAGAAAGCAAAGTGTCTGCACATTATCATTCCAGTTCTTTATAGAAATGCACTTTCTAAAATTTGATTAAATGTTCTATTCTTTGACTTTCTAGAAGGTCAGTTTAAGAACTGCTTATTTGAATGATATTTTAATATTTTTATTAAAATGGTTATAGTTTTTTATCCTTTCAAGAATCCCTTAATTGAATATCAATGCGGTAACTAACTTCTTGAGTTTAGTTCTAACTTAGATTTTTTGTTGGCAATTTTAATTGGCAGACGATTGAAATTATACGATGTGTTATTTTTATAGGTTATGTTTGTGACCTTACCTGACTAGACATTTATTGCCGAACTTAGAATCCAACTGTAATACCCAGCACATTTGAAGTAGCCAGTATTCCCTACCTTTCTTCTTTACATGTGTGCTTGCACATTTTGGGTCATTGACCTCTTTGACCTTTTGAGAGAATTGTAGATCATGCCACTTAATCACTCAAGAATTTTTTTGTGTGTGTGCATATATTCTATAGTAAGCAGCCAGGCACTGGAGATACAGTGCTGAACAAATGCAATAGTTTCTTAGTGGCATTAAAGTTTAACAAAGAAAACAGATATTAATTTAAAAATATAATATCTATAACTTGTGGAAAGTACCATGTAGGAATACCATGGTTTCATTTTGGGAGTGAATAAATGAAGTGATGAGATACAGTCAGAGGTATGTTCCCTGACCAAAGTGTGAATGAGTGTGGTACTGAGGAGAGAGTTCCAGGGGGATGCCTGAGGAGACATCTGAAAGAACTGAGAGAAGCCCATGGGTGCACAGAAGAGAGCGAGGGTCTGTGGGCTCTCTTGATGCTGGACAAGTAGATAGAGACCCAAGACAAATGCAGACACAGGAAATTTGTACCCAATTTTGTACCCCTGCATTATATACTCTGTTTGCCTCATTCCTAAGGGTATTATATCTCTATCAAATGTCAATTAAACTCAACTTCACGTACTTAGAGGTAAACCCAAAGCATGAGAGCTAAAGACAAAAACAGGAATCTCTTGATGCTGGACAAGTAGATAGAGACCCAAGACAAATGCAGACACAGGAAATTTGTACCAAATTTTGTACCCCTGCATTATATACTCTGTTTGCCTCATTCCTAAGGGTATTATATCTCTATCAAATGTCAATTAAACTCAACTTCACATACTTAGAGGTAAACCCAAAGCATGAGAGCTAAAGACAAAAACAGGAAAAGACACTCTCCAAAGGTTATGAGAAATAATTCATCAGAACTAATTTTCAAAATTGTGCTGATACTATGTTAAGTTGAGCAACTTCTGCAGTCATACCAATAATTTTAAACAGAAAGTTCCTCTTCCTTCTTATAAGATTCCGACATTTACTATTAGCATTAATTCTCATTCCTCTGGGCTTGCTCCCAGCTTCCTGATTTTCTTCCTATTCTGATTTCATGAACTGAACTTTTGTACAATTACCTTTCCTCCTAGCAGTTTAAATGGATATAATAAAGAGTAATATGTGCAATAAAAGTTCTTAAATTAGGTAGTTTCTTCACTAAATCCTAGTGCCACTTTCTTTTCTTTCATTTACAGTCAATAATTTATTCAACGCATAGGAACAGAATATAAAAATTATAACAGGTGACACATATGATCGTTTGTACTTGGACACTATTCTAAATGTATTACAATTACTAGTTATTTAATCATTGTAATACCACTAGGAGGTTGGGCTTAATATCATTCCTATTTGAAGATGAGGAAATTGAGATACAGAAACATTAAATAACTTGCCCAGATCCTACAGCTTACATATAAAAATAGCTGGATGCCCAGACTATTCAGCTGTGGAGTTCATATTCTGAATTACTTTTGCTATGTGGCTCACCTCCTTAGCCACAACTATGAGGTTGAGCTACAAATTGTACCACAGCTACATGACAGGCATGATGCTGGGTTCTGGGGAAAGAAAAATGGATAAGAAAGACAAAGCCATTGATCTCTCAGGTCACAGGACTTAGAGAAAAAATTGAAAAATTGTAATACATACTGGTATAGGTGAAATTTAGGAAGAAAACCTAATATTATATACAAAGGTGAGAAATAGTTTCTTGTAAGTATTTTTCTCTGAACTGAAGGACAAGTAATAATGGTAGGTCAGGCATTGGCCTAGGTATGTAATTTTTACTGCTCATTGAAAAATAAAATATGGGGTTTCCTGTTCAAAAACTATTACACATTTCAAGATGATGGCAGCAGTATATCAAACCAAACATGGGGTCCCTCTGAGTGTGGAGCCCTGTGCAGTTGCACAAGTTCCACTTCTATCAAGTTAATCCTGGCCAAGTAGAAAGGAGAAAGAATGAGAAGGAAATGGAAACTCTGTAGGTCTGGAATTGAGAGAAAAAGTGATATGTTCAAAGAGTTGAAAGAAGTTCACTGGAGTTGCCACATTTAATATGAAAAGGAGAGGGGTAAGAGATGAATGAACTGGAGAAATAAACAAGACTATATGATAAAGAGCCTCAAAAGTCAAGGGAAGACCAATAAGAGCATGAAATATGCTCAACATCATTAGCCATCAGGGAAATGCAAATCAAAACCACAAGACCACCTTGCAGCCACTGGAGTGGCTATAATCAAAAAGCAGATAAAAACAAGTGTTGGTGAGGAAGCGGAGAATTTGGAACTCTCCTGCACTGCAGGTAGGAACACAAAATGGCACAGGTGCTTTAGATAATAAATCTGACAGTTCCTCAAAATGTTAAACACAGAGTAAGCATATGACTCAGCAATTACACTCCCAAAAGAAATGGAGATATACTCATATGTCCTCACAAATACTTACATACAAATGCTTGTAATAGCTTATTAATAAAACCAAAAAGTTAAAAACATCACAAATGCCCATCCACTGATGCATGGATAAAAAATATGTAGTATGCAGTGGATTGAGTGTCCCCCAAAACGAATTGCAGCTTAATCCTCACTGAAGTTGTTGAGGGTGGGAAATCCTGTTATGATCATTGAAAGGTTGGGCCTTGAAGAGGTGATTAGATGATGAAGACCATGCCATAGTGAATACACTAATCCATGTGATGGTTTAACAGTGGTCATGAGCATGGTTCTGAGGGCTTTAAAATGGGAGCATGTAAGATTCTCTCTCTCTCTCTGCTTCTGCCATCTCACAATATGATAGCCTGTTTCGCTGAAGCCACCACCAAGGAAGACCCTCACCAGACGTGCTACCTGGACTTAGAACTTCCAGCCTCTGAAGCTGCAATAAATTTTGTTTTCTTATAAATTACTCAGTTCCAGGTTCTTTGCTATAAGCAACAGAAATGAACGAATACATGGTATATCCATACAAGGAAATATTAGTTGATAGTAAAAAAAAATGAAATACTTACACATGTCTCAAAATTAGGCTAGGTGTAAAAAGCTACTCACAAATGCCAAATGTTAGGTGATTCTATTGATTTGAAATTTTCAGAATAGGCAAATCTATAGACATAAAGGCTATTTCAGTGGTTGACTAGGGTTGGCAGGG